TGAATGTTGTTTTTTAATTGCTACCCTCAACAATATTCACTCCCAACCAGCTTAAACACACACACACACACACACACACACACACACACACACACACACACGCTAGAGAACCATATCTGATTAGATATAAAAATTGTTCAGACCTAAACTGAATTCTAGGCCTTTGGGAAACCTCAACATCCAGGTCTTTATATTCAATATATCTATTTTTCTTAGGATTTTGTGAATAATTTATTTGATATTTCTGGATATTATTTATTTTTAAAATATGAATTTTCCTCAAAACTTTAGAAGAGATTATGAATTATATCTTGGTTATGTTTATATTATATTACCAGAAGACTATCAAATCAATCTGGGAACTGGCCTTTCAATCAGCAAGAGAACAAATATAACTTTCAATCTCCTTGCATGTTATTTCTAATATTTGGTGATGTATCTACAGTATTGTTTATAGTAGTCATGCAGTTATTGCTGTTTGTGGCAAGTTGATCTTTGAATTCTCTGAGATACCACTTCTCCAAGTATTAGAATTGAAGAAAGACTTACATTGGTAGTTTTTAAGTGCCTATGATGCTTGAATCAAAATCATGAAAGATGGTTTTCACTCAAACAGTCCAATATGTTATATGACCAGGGGAGCAGTGGAGGTATGAGAGCATAGTTTGTGAAGAAATCAAACTATATTTCCAAGGCTCTAGCAAAGCAATATGATTTGGTGCTGTGTGGTTACTGACTGATATCTATTCCCCCAAATCTATTTCAGTTTTTTCCCCTTTATTTGCCTCCCTTTTCCTCAGAGAAAATCAGATGTCTGCCTCTCTCTTTAGCCTTCAGGAAAGTATGCCATGGACAGATTCCAAGCTAGAAAGTTCTGGGCATGTGTGCATTCTTCCTAGACCCCCTTCCCAGGAGAGGAATGTTTATGCTGCTCATCCCCCAGCAGCCCAATTTAAAATCAAAGTCCATACCTCAGAGAACTAGCTGGGATCAGATGCTAGGTATTTCTCCTAGTATTAACCCAGTGTAAGTCTATCAGCACCTGTCTTTTTAACTCAGGAATCATACACAGCCTAAAATAGAGAGATAAAGAGGTGAGATTCAAGTACTGAGTGTTGGGATAATGTCCCTTCTCCTGGCTGTGTAAGAAAATTTGATGTAGGACCTCTCAACGTGGTGACATTCCTAAGGCCTAGAGTCAGTCTTCTTAAAATCTGATGCTCTCTCCCATTTGAGACTGCTCCACAGCCCTTGGTCCCCAGTCTGCCTGGACAGCTGGGATCAGGGAGTGAGGAAGCTTGGAGTGGTGACTGTGGCCCTACTTATAGTTCCTTCTGTCCACCCTTCTCCTCCTGCTGAGACCTATTCAAGCACTGTGGTGTCTGAGTCTAGGAAGGACATTGTAACCTACAGATGTGACAAAACTGGGATAGTCCTTGCCAGCTCTATAGATATTATATGGGGAGTGGTATAAAAGCTGGGAGAACCTAACGGGTCAGATGCTGGATATTGGATTTGGTTCACAGGTCACAGTCACACAGATGAGCATGAGGCACTGATTTCAGATTTGTGGTAGTTGTCTCCAATATTACCTCAGTTTGCCAGCCCTGCTAAAAGTCATACTCAGAAGCTAGTAAGCCAGTTAACTAGGACTCAGATCCAGGAGAGGAAATGAATTACACAAAGTCCTCAAAGGCTATCCAGCTCAGAGCTGAACTCCCAAAAGAAGGGGAAGGAGAACTTGAGATCCCTCAGAGTTATAAGCTTGAGAAAGGTAGGTTATAATCATAATGAGAATAGTTGTAGTAGAGCAGCAGCATTAAAAAACAACTACCATGTATTGAGAAACAGGATGAAGCAAGAAAAATGTGAGTCAGGAGTAATGATCTCTGAACTTGAGAGACTGGAGTCCCTCCTCCCAGGCTACAGAATTATCCATCCTTTGAGAGTCTGGCTGTCCCTGGACCAGCCTGGCAAACATTCACTCCTTTATCCCTGATGAACCACCTATAGTACTTAGGCAAGGAATAGACCCAAACTAAGATTGGCATGTACACTTATACAAAACAAAGTGCCCCCCATCCCTGTAAACTTTTACCCAGTCAGCAAGTCTGCCTCTTCTTATCTCTGAGTTATCCCTTAGAACATTTCTTATTCTCCAAGATAAGGCTGTGTAATGCAATACCCCTCCATGAAGTTCCATTCTGTACCTCCCCCCAACACTCACAGCCCCATCCAGAGACTTCCCTGTGTGAAATTAGTAAGTGTAGGAAAAAGTCTCCACAGTCTGTTTCATTGACCATCCTCTTGTCTCCCAGTGCATTTTCCCTCTCACCATGAATTGCTTTTTTTTTTTTTTCTTTTTTTGGCAACTGAGACTTGCTGGTGTAGTGCTTTGGAAATAGGATTAGAGGGGGATGGACCAGGACTTGGAAAGGAAGAGAGAAAGCAAAATAATGTGCTTTCATTCTTAAAGGGTAATAATCCTCCTGAGTGAGTTATTCTTGGAGACTTCACCAGCCTCCTATCAACTAAAGTTGAGGTATTTGGGGGCCCCATTTCTCTACCCTGGGAGGAGAAAGGGCATTTCCATTCTAATACTCTCTAAGAATCAGATTTCCTTTCTTACACTCTCTCCACCCTCTCACTTAGTTCATAAAAGGCACCACCTCCGGAATCATTCATCAACATCTCTCCAGCCTTCTCTTCCAAAACAATACTGCAGTTGTCTACGTGTGTGTGTGTGTGTGTGTGTGTGTGTGTGTGTGTGTACCATAATTGCAGGAAGCCTTGCTAAGGCAGAGCAAGGTGAACATACCTTCACTCTTCATTGTTGTCTCTCTAATTATTTAATTGGAAATAAAATCCCAGGGAAAAGAGCTCCAAATATAAACCCATTGTTCCATGTGAATTAGATCAAACTATTGACTGAGATGCATTTTTATAATACTGTTTGCAACTGAATAAATGCCTCAATCCTTCATTTAGTATCAGTGAATTCCAGGAAGTAATAACGCAGAGTGATTTCAAAGTAGTTTATGCACCATTTTAGCCCATAAATTTCTAGGGAAATAAAAGTAATTTCTACATTTTCTTTACATCCTATTAATAATTGTCATTAAGACCATTTATATTACCAGGCAAAATGTGCACCACTTAAAATACTGGAAAACCCTCAAAGTAGGAATGCTGAGCTTAATCTTACCCATAGTTGTTTTTTGCTATAGCAGTCATTCAATACATAAGATAGAGAGTTGGTTGGATTCATAGAATGTTAGAAATTCTTTTATTTGGGGATTTTAATTTGAAATCAGTAGGGGAAATCTTAATTAGGGGTCAGAAAAGTGGAATTGAGAACAAGTATCTGATGACCAGATTCTCAATACATCTCTCCCCTCACTGATATATAGAATCTTAGCTATTTTCTAGCTTGGGATTTGGACAGTCAAGCTCCCCACACCCAACTTAAGTGTCAGAAGCATTTTTTTTTTAATTTTTATACAAACTGGAGTTTAGGTTTCAGAACTTCAGAGGAGACATAGTCCAAGTGTCCTGTATATTTAAGAAAAGAAAGGCCAACGGAAAGAAAAATGTTTTCCACTTAGAGTTTAAGGTTATCTAAGTGCCCACACACTGAAGTGGATGCTTTTATATTTACAATATGTAGGAGAATTTTTTTTTTAATGGAATTGAATGGAGAGATGACTCTTCCTGGGAAAGGAACACTTTCTGTACTCTGCATAACAGCAAAAGGAGGCTCCAAGGAGTGTTCTGATCAACAGTTTAATGGAATAAGGGTCTTGGGCACTGCACACACACACACACACACACACACACACACACACACACTGTCACTTTGTCAGGCTGGAACACCTCTCTAAGAGACCACAACTCTCTTTTGGCTACTTCTTTATCTTAACTTGCTGTTGTTAACATCTGTGCCCCTCTTGCCCTTTCTTTTTCCTTTTTTTCTCTGAATTCACTTAAGTGTCTGGCCACTATTCTTCATCCCTGCAGGTTTTCTTCCAGATGTTGAGGCATTTTTTTTTGACATTTCTAATTCTTCCACCCTTTTTTAAAACAAGTGATAGGGGAAGGAGAGATGCTTTCTTGACAGAGAGGCAGAGAGAGAGAGAGAGAGAGAGAGAGAGAAAGGATACATGAATGAAGCATCCAGTCATAAGACAACTAGTGGCTAAAACACTCAGATTCTTTTATATGGACTTGTGAAAGCCCTCAACATTGAGCTTTGGTCAGAGTTGCCCTTTACCACAATGTTTAAAAGTGTTCATACATGCATAAAAGAAATGATAGGTTAAGATGAAAGACAATTCCCATTTAAGAAGCTTTGAAACTCAGTAGCTAACCTGGAAATTCCCCTCATCCTCCCTAATGTATAGGGTTTTGCCTAATATATAGGGCTTTTGCAACCCTTCTTTGCCAGAGTCCCAGTTTACACCGAGGCAGGCGCCCGGTCTGATCAGAAGAACTCGGAACTTGTGGGGGGGGGGGGCGGGGAAGGGGGCTAACCAAGACTGGGTGGAAATGGCGGTGGGTGGGTAGGGGGGAGATAGACATTAAGAAGAGAACTCACGTAGTCGGAAATTACTCCCACATTTTTATTTCTCCTCGGCAAAAACCTTCCCTGGCCTCCTTGGACTGCGGGTGCGGCGAGGAAGGGCACGTTCTTCGCTGTCCCACTGGGAGCCAGAGGGAGGTCTCGAAGTTGAGAGAGGGTCAAACACTGTATGCACCCTTTCCTTTTAAGGTACTCTCTGACAACCCCCAAACCACTTACCTTATTGCAGCCTGGATTAAAAAAAAAAAAAAAACCGAGGCTGTGTCCTTCCTAAGTCGTGGTTCTGTTCGGTCCACTTAAGCCGGCTACACAATCTGATTCATCCTAAAGCTAACATACTGCCCCCCTTCAAATTGGTGGTGTTGTGGGTGGGGCTGAGAGAGTGGAGCTGTCTATACACTAAAGGTCTTTCTTGCCTTAGGATTTGGTAGTTGAAAGGTGAAAGAGAACCCTGAGATCCCCCAGCGAAAATGTGTTGCGGCCCCTGTGGAAGGAGTCAACTTTCAGGCTGTTAAAGTCCTCAAGTCATTAGCTTCAGCTGCTGCACTAAAGGGGCAAGCCAGCGCCTCTAAGTGGCTTAGCGCACAAACGAGGCTCCCGAGACGGCCGCTGCAACTCCATCCGCTCTTCCACCACCGGCTGCACGTGAATTGCTCTCCGGAGCCCATCTCGGTAATAATTTTTACTTTGACTACTCCCCTCCGAGGTCTTAGAACACGGGCCGCCCCCAACATGGGACCCCCTCGGGGACAACGAAGAGCTCGCCAGGCAGCGGAAGAGCTGGGACTGCTTGAGCCTAGTAACCTGGATTCTTCCCACCCTTCTCCCCCTCACCTCTCCCCCCGCCCGGATACTCGAGTTCTGGGACCAGAAGACCCCAGTAAGTCCCCTGCTGCGATCTGGTGGCGTCCGCGCTCCAGCATCCTCACCCCATCTCTGGATCCGGGGGGAGACAGAGCCAAGTTCTCACCAAAGCGCATCCTTTCTGAATCTTGCTCGGAAGGGCATGGTACGGTGAGCGCTCCAAGGGAGAGCTGGCGCCGTTTTATCACCCCCGGGCAACTAGCTGCGCAAATCAGCGGTGGCTCAGTGGCCAGAGAATCCCGCGGGGCTAATCCGTAACCCTCCTCCCCTTCGCCAAACTCAGACTCGGGAAAGGCGCGCGGGGTCCGTGCGCGCGCTGGGTGGCCAGCTCTCTGCCAGAGGTTCTCCAAGTGCCAAGAGAAACGGAGAAAGGCCCGCTCCAGGTCTTTTGGTACTCCCCTTTCTGACCTCGACACTGATTTCCCCCTCCTCACAGTCCCAGAGGGCCGAAGCTTTAGGAGGATGCGGGCCAGGCTGCGCCCAGAGAGGCTTTGCCACTTGGGGAGCTCAGGACCTGCGGGGCGCAGGCAGGCCAGAGAGACCGCTTCGAGGCAGGCGGCGCCGGAGGGAGCGCCCAGCCCAGCAAAGAGTTAAAGGGAGGGGACGTGGGCTGTCACGCGTCATTGGGCAGATTATGTGCAGCAAACAAAAAGTGTGTGTCTGCGTGCCAGTCAGTCACTGCATCGGGTCCATCTGTACAACTCTCTCCGCGCGCTCTCGCTGTCTCGCTCTCGCTCTCTCGCTCTCACCCCTCTTACTCTCCTCATCTCTTTCACCCCATCTCTCCATCTCTCTCTCTCCCTCTCTCTCTCTCCTCTCTTTAGGCACAGCCTACGAGACAGCAATAGCAACACCTCTTGACATGGAAATGCACTGATACAATAGGCAAAAGAAGCACTCGATTGCCTCTCCCGGTTCCAGGTGGCCTTATTTGGGCGATTCGTTCCTGACCTTATTCCTGGTAAGTGTCCGTGCTTTGATGTGGGAGGGGGATGGGGACGAAGGCAGGTTTGCTAGGGGAGAGTGGAAAATTTTGCCGTCCGGCTCGTCATCTACCAGAAGAGAAGGGATCTCTCCCGGCAATACGGTTATACAAAGGGAGGAGCGGGTGGGGAGCACTTTGCGGGAGAAGCGAGCGACTGGGGAACGCGCGGCCGCCAGACAATGCCTGCCTATCGGGAGGGCGAGCGGCCGGCGGCAGCCGCGGGCGCTCCGCGAGCCCCGCGGGCTCTGGGGAGGACCCTCCCCCCCGGACGCTGAGCGCGGGGCCTGGAGCCGGCGGCGGAGCTCCGAGCGGCTGGGTGCACGGGCGACCGCACGCCGGCCGGCGAGCCCGGGCTCTCGCCCAGCGGTTATTGTGGCCGGCTCGAGGCTCGTGGCGGCCGCCGCGGCGACGCGAACCCCTATTAGCGCGGCGTAGCGAGGATCTTTTCACCATATTGTTAGGTAGAACTGCATTTTAATGATTGCGTCCCTGCTGTTGCCCGAAGTGACGGGGCGACCTCCCGGCACAATGAAACGCTTGTGTGAAAGAGACTTTTAAAAGGAGGAGAGAAATTGAGGCATAAAACGCTGAATTGAGGAAACTGAAAAGGAGAGAATAGGATTCCGTTGAAAAGGAGATGAGAGGTTCTGAAGGCTTTTTATTTTTTAACGTATTTAAATTTGCAGTTAGAGGTCAGAAAGGCTACGTGTGTGGGGTAAAAGATGCCCAGAGATAGATGCTGTGATAAAGTAAGTTTCTACTTTATGGATATTTTCTCTTATTTCTGTCTGGCAGATACAGCCCAATACTTGACATTTGCCGGATGTAGCGGAGTGAATGGAAAAAGAGGCTGACCAAAGTTTCATGCTCTGTTAGCTGGAAAGGAAAAAAAAAAAAAAAAAAAAGCTCTACCTTGTAATCACATTTGCAAGATTAATTGGTTAATAGACATTAGGATAAAAATGGGCATTACTAATATTATTCCATAATGAACAGCTACTCAGGAAAAGAATTAGGTCTACTCTTTCCTGCTACTTAAATTATACAAAGCATACATAAATTATTGCCTATCTCGACGTTGTTAGGGAAAAACCAACTTGGGGGAGTCTTTTAATCAGTCAGAGTTAAGAAGGCAGTTAGTTCAAGGCCAGTTTAAAATTTAAATTCCTGCTTTGTTTTTGTTTAAAAATGACAAGTTTTGGAAGGGTGTCTCGTGGCCAAGGAAGGAAAATGTCTCTTTATGACAGTTTAATACAGAGCCTTCCATCAGGGCATTACTCTCTAAATTGCTGTGGATTAGTCAGAGAGCCCACAGAGGTCTACACAAGTGGGGCTGCCCCCTCTTGCCCAGACAGGGTCATATCTGGGGAAGGGAGATTTCACCAGTCACTGCACACACAGTATTTCAACCAGGGGACACTTCAGGCCTGCCCTGTACCTGCTACTTCATGAGGTACATGCAACTCAATCCACCCCCTTGTATAACAAGGTAACTGGGATTCACCCTCATCCATAAATAAGCATGTCGAGAAAAAAATAATTACCTCTGCTTGCTGCTTTTAATTAAAGCCTCGGAGGGACAGTGTTGGATTATGGTAATGAGCAGACATACGTCCCCTCTTGTAGGCTGCAGAGAAAGGTTAGCTGACACAGAATCAGTGGCCCAGACACTCCACTTGAAATCCATTCGCCATGCTCGGCTGTCTCTGCTTGCTCACTAAGGCTGCTCCCCTCTTTGGAAGAAAAACAAAACAAAACAAAACAAATCAACTCCTGGCCACTCAGTTCAATAAACAAGAAGAGAGGAGAAGAGCTTTCTCCCAAGGGTGAAAGTTATTTTCAGTCAGGAAACTATATGCTAGTAAAAAGAAAGAAAGGAAGAAAGGAAGAAAGGAAGGAAGGAAGGAAGGAAGGAAGAAAGAAAGAAAGAAAGAAAGAAAGAAAGAAAGAAAGAAAGAAAAAGAAAAAAGAAAAAATCCTATTGTTCTCCCCTAATCTGGTCCCAAATCCTGGCCCATCCTCCCCCAAGCTGATGCAAAAACCCGATTTCTCTTTCCTAGCCCTGTTTTCCTTCTGGAGAGCAGTGCACTCTGAGCTCCCACTCTTCCAATTATTTTAAAAAGCGAGTGAGAGGTGGGAAGGAGAGGAAAGTACTCCTTAGTTGTCATTTTCAAAATGCTCCAGATTAATCTGCCACTGGCTTTATTTTGGAAATAAAGGCTATGCAAAAATCAGGCAAATTCAAGAAAACTTTGTCTAAGAATTGAAATGTTCTGCCTGGATTCATAGAGGCAAAAGGAATAATATAAATTGTTTCCTTGTCCTGTGTATCTGTCTCCAGTGATGGAGGATTCAGGCATCCAGCGGGGCATCTGGGATGGAGATGCCAAGGCTGTCCAGCAATGTCTAACAGATATTTTTACCAGCGTTTACACCACCTGCGACATCCCTGAGAATGCTATATTCGGTCCCTGCATCCTGAGCCATACTTCCCTGTATGACAGCATAGCTTTCATTGCGCTCAAGTCCACAGACAAGAGAACAGTCCCCTATATCTTCCGGGTAAGTCTTGGCCAGTGGTGCACAGGGTATGAGGGTAATGCCCTGTTGAAAACTGACTAAGAATCATTCAAATGACAATCTGAGATAGGTTCTGAATGTAGAAAGTGAAATAATGTGAGACATCCTATTTAACAGATCAAAACATTAAAAACAGAAAAACAAAAATTAAACTCAAATTATTGGCAACTGATTTCTGGAATAAATGACAAAAATTTGATTCGGAGTACCAGGTATATCTAAATTGCTGCCTCAGTCCTAGGCTTTCCTGGTGATAAACACAACTTCCTTAACTTTGGGGCAGATTTCAACCAGGGTTGAAGCTGTTTGCATAATAACTACTCTCTGTAAGTCCTTTTATTATAAGCATCGGCTGCATTTGTGTTCCAACCTAGGAGGCCTAGTTTTCTCCTAAATGTTACTCTTTCTAGTAAGCTAGCTAGTACCCAGAATTTGTATTTAATAAAGATGTTAATGGCTTGACAATAAAACAGCATTAAATTTGTATGAGTTTCAAGATATAATTCCTCTCTCATTCTGTCTTTCCAAAGAAAAACTATTAATTGTTTAAGGCAAAATTAGGAGGATGAATCAATGCCACAGAATAATTTCTAAGATCTACACTTGCTTTTTTAACTTCCAGAAACAGACAAAACCCCTCACACTTGTGTAATGTGAGATAATTGAGAAGTGCATTCTCAAGAGGTTAACACTAATTTAAATTGTAAGGAAAAATTTCCTCACCAATATATGAAAACTACAGTTTCATCTATATGATTGATACAGTGTTTCAAAGGACGGTTATCTTGCCTCCTGGTTACAAAAACGAAGATGGGTGCCGACCTGGGTCTTGGTTAAGCTTGAGCTCAGATAATTCTCTGGAAAAGAATAACATAGAGGAAATGGTCCGGTTCCTCTGGCTTCATTCTCTCACAGGAGTCTCCCCCACCCCCCACCCCCATCCCCTACCTCCTTGTATTCTTTCTTTTTTCCAAACTGTAGGTAGACACCTCAGCAGCAAATGGTTCTTCGGAAGGTCTCATGTGGCTGCGTCTCGTCCAATCAGCCAGAGATAAAGAGGAACAGAACCTTGAAGCCTATATAAAAAACGGACAGCTGTTTTACCGCTCTCTCCGCAGGATTGCCAAAGACGAGGAGTTACTAGTTTGGTACGGGAAAGAACTGACTGAGTTACTCTTGCTCTGCCCCTCTAGATCCCACAGCAAAATGAATGGTAGGTTGGCTCGCGACCTGCGACGGGGCCCTTCGCTAGCGGGGAAGACGCAGGGAGAGGCGGGGGCTCCCTCGGGCGCACTGGCGTCTTTCCTCCCTTAGGGCGACTGGGCAGGGAAACTTCGAGCTGGGACAGATAGGTGAGGATGAATCGGGGACACTAGGCTTGATGACTGCACTCGTCCCCTGCGCCCCAAATCAGGAGGGAAAGTTAGATCAGGTCGGACAGGATACTCTTTTCTCAGGCACTCAGGTCCTGAGAGATGAAGGTGGATTTGTGAAAAGGGTGATGGCAAACTGGTCTGGAGACGATGCTTAGTAATCCTGTGGTGTGCCTGTGTGTGTGCGCGCGCGCACGTGTGTGTGTGTGCGTGCGTGCGTGGGTGTGTGGTGTTTTCTCACTAAGCAGGGTCGTCCCCTTACACATGCCTGGAATGCAGCCAACGTTTCCAGTTTGAGTTCCCCTATGTGGCGCATCTGCGCTTCCGCTGCCCCAAGAGACTTCACAGCGCTGATGCCAGCCCCCAAGAAGAGCAAGGCGGCGGCGTGGGCACCAAGGATCACGGGGGCGGGGGCGGTGGCAAAGACCAGCAGCCGCAGCAACAGGAAGCGCCCTTGGGCCCCGGCCCCAAGTTCGGCAAAGCCGGACCTATCCACCACTACCCGGCCCCCTCCCCCGAGGGCAGTAACCAGCCCGCGGCAGGCGGCGGCGGCGGCGGCGCCAAGCCCTCCACGGACTTTCACAACCTGGCCCGGGAGCTCGAAAACTCGGGGGGAGGCAACAGCTGCTCCCCCGTCCGGGGCCTCGGTGGCGGCGGCGGCGGCGGCGGCCACCAGGAGGCGGAGCTGAGTCCCGACGGCAACGCCACAGGCGGCGGCAAGGGGAAGAGGAAATTCCCGGAGGAGGCGGCGGAGGGGGGCGGCGGCGTGGGGCTGGCGGGGGGCCGGGGCCGCTTCGCCGAGCGGCCCCTGACCGCCTCCAAGGAGGACTTGGTGTGCACCCCGCAGCAGTACCGCGCCTCGGGCAGCTACTTCAGCCTGGAAGAGAACGGCCGCCTCTTCGCGCCGCCCAGCCCCGAGACGGGCGAGGCCAAGCGCAGCGCCTTCGTGGAGGTGAAGAAGGCGGCCCGAGCGGCCGGTCTGCAGGAGGACGCGGCCGCCGACGGCGGGGGCGCGGCCGCCGAAGACCAGGACGCGGGCGGCGGCGGCGGCGGCGGCTCCTCCACGCCCGTGGCCGCTTCGCCTGCAGGCGCCGACAAGCTGCTGGCCCCGCGGCCTGGGGGCCCG